CACGTAAATTCAGTAACTAAACTAAGTACAAAGTAACATATTACGAAAAAAAAAATTACAAAATCTTAAAATCTAAATGTACATGTGTGTTGCAGTTTGACAAATGGGTCCTAGCTCAGCGATTAATATTACTCAGAGAGCAAACACTGATTTTCAGCTATTACCCTCGAGATGACGAGAAGAAATGAGCACAATAGTTAATCAGTGTAAATATGTATATTTGAATGATGTGTCCTTTCAGCCCTACGATTTGCATCTAGGGTTTAATTTAGTAAAATTACTGAAGGGGCGTGTAAGTGTTTAAGTTTGCGTACAAATTAAAAGTAGTACCTAAAAGGCTTAGACAGCTATGATGAGTTAGTAGGAACAAAAAAAAAATACCGTGGTTTATAGCTGGCAAACAAAGTGTTTGGGAATACCTTGTTTTTGTTTATGTAGAAGATATGTTTTGAATTTATTTTTGAAATTGTAATTGGTGTTGCGATTTCTTATTGGTGGTGGGATGTTATTCCAACACTTCGTTGCCATATATCGGAAACTACCAGTAAATGCCGCTGTTTTATGGCTATGATACAGGAGTGCTGATCTTATGGACCTCAATTGTTTTCCGGAATTTTGTTTAGCAAATTTTATCTTTGCATGCAGGTACTCTGGTTTTTTAAACTTAATGATATTAAAAACAAGCCCTCCTAAATGTAGCTCTCTACGTGAGTCCATGTTGAGCATGGAAGCAGTGTTCAAGAAAGGAGTAATGTGACTTCTGGGGGGGACATCAAAACAGAACCGACAACATGCATTTTGCACGCGCTGTATTAGTCGCTTTGTTTTGCTGAAAATTCGAGGTCCATAAACAACATCTCCGTAGTTAAGCCGAGATAAAATTAATGACTCGCAAAGTAATGTAATGCGTGACGGTACAGATAGTTGGTCACGGATATGGTATAATACCTTTAGACGATAAAAACAGTTTTTTACCATATTAAGGACATGATTTTCAAATCTAAGATTACTGTCGAAGGTTATACCAAGGTTTTTGGCTTCATCCACGCGCAATATATGTGTACCATTAATCTTAACGTCTAGCTCACCACAAATTCTACTTATTTGCGCCTTTGTGCCCATGACTATATATTTTGACTTTGAGGGGTTTAAAACAAGAGCATTCCGCATTGACCAGTCAGCAATCCTGTCCAGATCATCATTAAGCCGTGTCACAGCTTGTGGTAACTTATCTGGTGAGGCTGACACGTATACTTGCACATCGTCAGCGTAACAGTGGTACATAGAATATTTTATAACTTTAACAAGGTCAGCACAGTAAATTATAAAAAGAAGTGGACCAAGTATTGAACCCTGAGGAACACCACGATTAATAAGCCTAGGGTGAGAACGTATATTAGACCCATCACTCTACCAATTTTACTGACTGGCACCGATTAATCAAGTAACTACTGAACCACTTGACCGAATTTTTGTCTAAACCATAATATGACAGCTTAGCAAGCAGCAGGGGAATATTTAGGCAGTCGAAAGCGCGGGAATAGTCTAATAGCGTTAGAATCGTACTGTGACCGGAATCTTGTTCAGCTAATATGTTGTCTGTGACATCGACTAAAGCAGTCGCTGTGCCACATCCTTTGCGAAACCCAGATTATAAATGAGGCAAGATGTTAGTCACTTCAACAAATTTAGTTAACTGTTCGCAAATAGCTTTCTCCAGCAGCTTAGCAAGGAATGGCAAAATGCTGATGGGCCTGAGATCTTTTAACTCGACTGGGTTTTCATTTTTGGGTATTGGGGTCACTAGTGCCTCCTTCCACTTATTAGGAACTATACCAGTCACAATTGACTTATTAATTATAGCCGTGATTGCATCCAGAGTGCAAGAAAGAGAGAGTAAGATCATATCTCTGTTAATTCCATCGTTTCCAACAGCATTCGATTTTATGGACATTATATATTTAGAAATATCTGTTGCAGCTACGGGAGCTAATTTAAATACCTCTGTATTGAATTTATTATGTTCAAAAAATAACATGTCTGCATTAGAGACTACGTTGTCTCCCGGAATATTCAAAAAGTGATCATTAATTTTGTTTGGGTCATTGAAATGGGGAGGCAAGGATTTGTCTTTCGAGGGGTCAACCAAAATTTTTTCCTTCAAATTTTTCCAAAACGTTTTGCTATTTTTAGCTTGAGAATTAACTAAGCTATTGAAGTAGGCCCGTTTTTCTTGTGAAATACTTTTTAAAACTAGACTTTTAAGCTCCTTGTAATATTTTTTATGTTCGTCTGATCCGGATTTTCGATAGACATCGTGAGCCATATTACGCTCATCGATCATCATTTTGCAGACATCGGTTACCCACGGCAGTGAATAATTGTTTTTTAGAGTTACTGTTTTCACTGCTGCATGTTTATCAAAGAGAGAGAGAATCATTGAATTAAACTTTTCCACCATCATATATACTGAAGGTAACTCAGTTACATCGTCCCAATTGATTACATATAAATCATTATTAAATGCATTTAAATTTATTTTATTAATGGGCCTGAAACTAAAAGTTCTAGTTGGGATTATAACCTTTTTTAATGACAGAGTAACATTAACCATTGCGTGTCCATTGGAACCAATTATATTATTAACAGTGACATCGCGAACTGGTGCGTTAGTACATACAAGATCTATCAGAGTCTCAGTATACGAAGTGTAATGTGTCGGCTCACTGACAAGTTGACGGAGGTTCATGTAGTAAAGGAATTAAGTCAGTTTGACAGTACTACTATTACTTCCCGCAAGCATGTTAATGTTAAAATCTCACAACAATACAATAAAATCATACTTTGAAAAATAATTAATGGAATCCGTTATGGCGTCTATGAATACATCTATATTGATCCATTGTGGTCTGTACGCAGTCCCTATAGCAACACAATAACCATTGACACGAGTCGATAACCACATCTGCTCAATTAGCTCATTAGGCCTGGTCAAATATCTCACGTTGACGTCGCGTTTAATATAAAAAGCGAGTCCACCCCCCCCGGCCGCCGCGCATATGTAGCGGGCGTGGGGTGACTCTGAGTCGGTAGCCGGGCACGGCCGGCGCACGCGCCTCTTGTCCACTTTGAATCCATGATTCGTTAATCGCAACTATATCTGGGCTATAACGATTCATAGCAATAAGAAAATTATCATGTCCCGTATTGAGTGATCCCGCATTGTAAAGACCCAACTTAAATAACTTTGATTGCGATTTTATTATAACTTAAAAAACAAAATAAATTATTTCTAAAAGAACACCGACGACTAAATAAACTAGAATGCAGGATAAGTGTGATGAAAATGTTTTGAGATTGACATGTCATATTGCGCTGCATTTTTTCTCTGTTAACTGTTGTCGCTGCAACAGCGCCCACACAATACCCATACAATACTAATAAACAAAACACATATATTAATACATAATTATGATAAAAGAAGGTTGAATATGTATCACGAATTCCATCATAACATTTAAACAAGTCATTTAACAAAGTATAAGTTACATTACATTGCCTTTTATTTTTTCTTTGACTTCAACATCTTCAATGAATTTTCTATAGATACGTAGTAGAACCACGCGCTTTAGCAACCGAATGATGATGAAAAAAATTCTTTCTAAAAAGTCTGTCTGACCTAATTTTAGCTAATTAATTTTTGTAACTTTAAGTATCATTAGAATTATACGTAGAGCCACGATTGGGACGGCTCTAACATGAGAGGACCGCGTTCGCACAGAATACTACGCTGGTAGTTTCGCACAGAATATAGCAGCATAATGCTGCTGTGTTTAGAATGATAAGTGACGAACCCGATACCCTTTTTACTGGTAAGGAGGCATTCCAGCTTACTCTTTTTCTACTACTTACTGACCTCAGGGGGTTAACATTTCATCTGAGTTTTGATTCTTATTAGATGATAAATGTAGGTTTCATGGGCCATAGGATTCACTTACCATAAGGTGTGTTCGTTTATCCACCCTTACTTCTATAAAAAAGATGCTTATGTGTGATTCTTTTGTTAAAGCTGGTGCTTCTCATGATTTTCCATATAAATTGATCAAGGTCTGACCAGTAGTTTTTGAGTTATCCATAATAATTAATATTGAAGTCGGTTATACAATTTCAAGTTTACCACTTTTTTAAACAACAATATCCAGTCAGTTTTCATACATTCGTTTATTCATTACAGTAATTCAAAAGTAAACTACTAGGTTATTTGTCACGTATGCGGGTTAGTAACTGCAGTTTTTGTATTATCTTTGAGTTGTTATCAGAAAGTCGCTGATTTCTTACATTTACTCGAATATTTGACATTGAAAAAATATAATATTACGGACTTTATCGAGTTTATGTGTTTTGTTTATAAACGCGATAAAATGACTAAATATTTGTGTTTTATTCAGGAAAATGCTGCTGCATCTCCTGCTTTATTGCCCTCTGGCATCTTTTGACCCCACGGGATGATATTTAGTAGTCGATTGCCTTACGCCGCCAACATACGTAAATAATTTTTTAGTAATTTCTATGAATCTAAGCATATTATACTATACTCAAAAACCAGTATACTTTTGTGCCGTTGGGCCCTATAGTCAGTAAACATTATAATGCTATCGCTTAATAAAACAAAAAGAGGGCGGGAGAGAAAGAGAACGATAGACTGCAAATTCTCTTAAACACTGTCCACCAACACACGCATCTCAATATCATCATCATCAGCGTGCTGCAGTACAATGCTGGACGTATAGGTCTCTCCTCTTCGGCTTTACGCATCCAGTTTGCTGCGTCTAACCAGGGGGCGTCCCACACTACGTTTTCCTAAACGCGGTCTCCCCTCTATGAGACGCCTTCTCCAACAGTTGTCGCTTCTGCGATAGACGTGACCAGCTCATTGCTACTTCAACCTGCAAATACAAATAATCTCCATATACTAATTAATTTTCTTCTCTTATCATTAGAATGACGTTTGGAACTTTATGCGGGAACACCCACTGTTCCGGCACACGGAGGCAACGCTGTCCCTCGATGAACAGCGCCACATCACCACTAAGCGGATGTACGCAATATATAGCCAGAACTTCGTACCTCTTGAGAAGGTAAGTCATATGAAATACTTAGACCAACAAAGAAAGAAAGACTGAGCTATACGCAATAGGTGTCGAGCACTAGTAATATTATCATAAAATATCAAAAACATAGGCATTGTAAAAGATAGGACCGAGATGCAAGCCCTGAGGTATACCAGACGGGATGATGACAAAATCAGTACCATATCCACCCTTGACAACAGCTTGTAAACAATCAGTGCTGTGTAACTTTACCCAACGTAGTAATTCTCCATGCATACCCAACGCTTGAAGCTTCATAAAGAGAATATCATGATCCACACGGTCAAAAGCGAAACACACTGACTTCTTTACAAAAGAAATGTCTTACAGCCTGTAACCCTCTCTAACAATTAAAATTGGAATACAGTAGCGGGTGCTCTGTTACTTGGCGGCTGGAGGGGAACCCTACATAGTCCTTTCCATAAAAGTAATTTTGCTTTTCAGTTAGGAGTCGAACCGAGTATATTCCAAGCGGAAGCCGAGGCGCTGTTCATGTTTGACAGTTCCTTGGCCGTCAAAATATCGCTGACTTTCCGAATGTTCTCAAACGTTATACAAGGGAGCGGGCAAGGGCATCACTATCATTATATAGAGGACGCGCAGATGGGAAAGATTGGGGGCTGCTTCGCTTTAACCGAGGTCGCCCACGGGTCCAATGCTAAAGGAATGAGGACAACTGCTACTTACTGCCCCGAGAAAAAGCAATTCATCTTGCACACCCCTGATTTTGAAGCAGCCAAGTTCTGGATTGGGTCTTTGGGTAAGTAATGTCCAACATAGTGTATAAACTTGAATTATTGGTATCTTGTAACAAAATATAGTTCCGACATCAATTTAGAGGGTAAAATTGGAAGTAAATTTGAGATCGTTGTTACCCTCGACGTTATCCCAGCCGATCTAGATTTTTTAATGTGGGAGAGCCACGGTGTAGCTAAATTATGGTTGTAGCATGAATGAGTCGGCTCGACCGGAGTATGACCACGCTCTCACAGAATATCAGTGTAAAATAGCTGCTGTGTTTCGTGTGTTTCGTATAAAAAGTACCGGAGACGAGGCAACACGACAACAACATTTTTACTGTAAACGAGGCATTTCATCTTAGTCCACAGCGGTGACAACGCATCTGCATTTTAATTCTTAATCGAGGATAAATGTAGATACCTATGGACCACAGAATCCACATACCATCTGGTGGACTGTGTGCTCGCTTGTCGCCCGTAGTCTATAAAAAAGCCATACAGTCGAATTAAGTGATAGGTGACATCATCAGTTTAGTAAGTGCACATTATCACTTGAGTGTCATAGGAGACGCTACAATGAAATGAAACAGATGGACAGCATTCCTAATAATAACTAAAAATATTTAAAGAAAACTGTAGTCGTCGGCCCTGCCATGCGTGGCAGCTATGGTAAATATCCCTCTACGAGGCAATCTGGGAGGAAACTATGTTTAACAGTAGACTTCAAAAGTCTACTGTTAAACATAGCTGTAATGAATGAGAATAAGTTAAATTACAGTATACACGTCCAACCGCTGGGCCTAGGCCTATCATCTCATTTCTAAGAAGGCTATGAAACGCGAATAAAATAATTTTAATTATGTAAGAAAAACTTTCTATCTTAACATCAGCAAAACGAAACACTTAGCGGTGTGTATGTTTCGAAACATTAATTGTGCATACCTTACCTTTCACCGATTTTAACAGACTTTCAAAGGAGGGAGTTCTCAAATTTACTGTATTTGTCTAATAATAATAATCTCTATTTGCAAGAGTATGGTTGTACAATGGCGTTAGTTTTTTTTTATAGTATAAGGATGACAAACGAGCACACAGCTCTCCTGATAGTAAGTGGACGCTGTGGCTCATAGATATCTAGATCTATCCTCGATTAGGAATCAAACTGCAGATGCGTTGTCAACCCTGAGGACTAAGATGGAATGCCTCGTATCCAGTAGAAAGGGTCTCCGGTTCTATATACTGACCTTACGAAACGCGGCAGCATTGAGCTGCTATTTTACGCCGGTATTCTGTGAGAGTGTGGTTCTTCCTGGGTCTAGCTTACCCATTCGCACTACAACCATAATATAGCTGCAACATGGTTCTAACACGTATATATTATATTAATATTATTTCAATCGCGACATAAATTATATTGATTGTATTTAATTAATTAATTATGTAACAGTGTCAGAAAATGTCAATGTAAGATCATTTTAGTATGTTACGCGATATATACACAACTTTTGTACCTGTCTGCTCTACCATCTCCTGTTCCAGTTTCCCTCTGTCGCCTCTTACGACGTCCACAGGAAGAACGAATGGATACTCTTAGACCGCCACTACACGGTTTTCTTTTGTTACCTTTAGATTATGATATTAAAAATTAGAAGCTTTAATTCTTCGATGCACTGTCTAGTATCGAATTCAGAAAATTTAGAATATTGTACCTAGTAAAATATATTCAAGCGACTTAAAAAAAAGGAGGGGGTTCTCAATTCGAGATCTAACCAGTAGTAGTAGTCTTTGAGTTATACTCAATAATGCCTATTTAATTGACTTCGACTACATTGATGATGTTCTCATTTTATTTATATTGAAGTCGGTTTTTCTGACTTTTTCATTTATACTGTCATCACATCACGCACAAAACGAAAAAAAATGTACAAATAGCGTGGTTACACTATGTTTTACCCGACTACAACTGAGTGCGGCCAATTGCGGTTGGTTATAAAGTTCTATTTCTCCGAATAATTTATAAAAAAATATAAATAGCCACGGCTATACCGTACCATCGTCACGGTATAGTATCATAAAATTAGATTCTAAAAAACCATAAATATTAATATAACTAGCGATCCGGCCCGGCTTCGCACGGTTTATTTCTAGATCTCGACAACAACGCCACTTACCGGGTCCTATTGTGAATCTAAACCATTCTCTAATCAACTTAATCGCACACACAAAGTGAGTGAGTTTCATTTTCACACAACACATACAACTTTCTATAGAATAATATACGGATAGCTAAATTCTCTTTATGACTAATAGAACTATTAGCAGTCATTATGAGAAACTTATAAAAAAAAGAAACATATTTAACAGTGGTAGAGCCAAGCGGCAGCTTTTGCTGTCGCACGGATGGGCCGGCTCGAACCGGGGTGGTACCACGACCTCACAGAAAACCAGCGTGAAGTAGGGGTTTACCTCTGCGTTTCGCTTTGTGAGTGCAGGTGGCCGGACGCCCTTTTTACTGGAAATGAGGCATTCCATCTTAGTCCTTACGGGTGACAACGGATCTGCATTTTGATTTGTAATAGAGGATAGATGTAGATGTCTATGGGCCGCAGCAACCACTTACCATCAGGTGGACTGTGTGCTCGTTTGTCACCCTTATTCTATAAAAAAAAACCCTTCTTTTTACTCTTCTGTAAGCGGATAAAAAGTAACCTATATGTTAAGCACGATCATTAATTTACTGCCTACATACCAAATTTTATGAAAATCATTCCAGTAGTTTTAATTTTTTTTTATATAGGATCGGATGACAAACGAGCACACAGTCCACCTGATGGTAAGTGGTTACTGTGACCCATAGCCATCTACATCTATCCTCAATAAAGACTCAAGATGCAGATGCGTTGTCACCCGTGAGGACTAAGATGAAATGCCTCTTTGCCAGTAAAAAGGGTCTCCGGTTCTCTACACTCACCATACGAAACACAGCAGCGTTAAGCTGCTATTTTACGCTGGTTTTCTGTGAGAGCGTGGTCCTTCCCCGGTCGAGCCGACCCATTCGTGCTATAACCATAATATAGCTGCAGCATGCCTCTACCATGTAGAAAATGTGAATACGCAAATTTTTCCACAGATATGTTTTAATTAATGCGTGAAGGGAAAACGTACTCCTATCCTTATAAGCATATTGCGCGCGCTGAGGAGTCAAAGAATTGGCATAGTTAAAGTTTTTATAGAAAAAGTATGACAAACGAGCACACAGTCTACCTGATGGTAAGTGGTTCGTGCTACAACCATTATGTGTGTTATAAATAAATTTAAAAAAAAAAATACATTATTTAGGTTTATACTGCCATGCATACATATGTATGTAATTACTAGTGCTTGGACAAATTGCCGTTGGTTGACGTTCATACTGCTAATGTCTCAGAGAAAAAAAAGCGTTTATTTTATATTTTGTACATTAGATATCTGTGTTGTATAATATATTAATGTGCAGTTGAAAGTGCAGCTTGCTTAGCATACAAACCACAAGGCAACTACTGGTTCATTTAAGTGACGTGCAGTGTCGTGCGCACTTGGAAGAGAAGGCCAAATTGGCCTCCAAAAAGCTTGGCGTGCTCAGCAGAGCGGGACCGTATTTCATGCCGGCACACCGCCTGCAACTTTACAAGGCGCAGATTCGGCCTCACATGGAATACTGTTCCCATCTCTGGGCGGGGGCTCCCCACTGCCAGCTCCTTCCACTTGACCGCATCCAGAGCAGAGCGGCTCGAATCGTCGACGACCGAGTCCTTTCCGATCGGCTCGATTCATTTGCGCTGCGAAGAGATGTTGCATCCCTTTGCATTTTCTTTCGCATTTACCACTGGGAGTGCACTGAGACACTATCTGGATGAATTGGCGGTCCACCACTGTGCGATTTAGAAGATGTTTTCTTCCTGGCACAACTTTCTTGTGGAATCGATTATCACCAGCTATTTTTTCGGCCCGATACGACTTAGGGACTTTCAAGAAAAGAAGCCTACTCCTTTTTAAAAGGCCGGTAACGCATCTGCGAATCCCCTGGTTCCCCTAGTGCTGCAGTTGTTCATGGGTGGCGGTAGTCACTTACCATCAGGTGAGCTGCATGCTCGTTTACCCCCTCTCCTATAAAAAAAAATTTAAAGGAGTATGTATTACATGTACGGATTACCAAATATGTCAAGTTCAGTGTCATTTCGTCATGATTTATTCATTTGAACAACATTTTGAACTCTAGTTCAATACTTTAAATGTGACTTTTGTTGTTATGTTAATTTATTCTTTTGTAAACGGTTTATTGAAGCATGCCACATACTTTTATTTTATAATTAGTTGAGCCAAGTTTCAGAGTTCCTTAAATTTACTAATTTGTATTTCTAACAACGGTAAATAGTTGCCTATTATAGACTGGCGGTTATCTGATGTAATGGTATCTAAGGTCAGTATTCAGTCATTCTCGAGTCTAAACTCAAACTGTCATCATCATCATCATTACAGCCCTCACAAGTCCACTGCTGAAAATAGGCCTCAAACTGTCTACAATGGCAAAATTTAAGTCCAGAATACCAGCCTGAATTAAGTAGTTGATAGTTGGTTTACAACATGATTTTGTTTTATAAAGAAAACTATCAACGCTATTAATATTGGGTACTAGAATTCCCGTTCAGCATCCTAGCTAAGATGAGACTGCTTGAACTGGTTCCCTTCCACCTTGTGGCGGTGAGGGGCTCGGTAGCTCTAGCTTAGTCATACACGAAGAACCGAAAGGAACCACATGGTTGCACAGGCTGTTCCGATTGGCCTTTACGAGCCTACTCTGTACATTAGTGTTGGTGGATTGCGAAGGGAGGCGTGTCCCGTTCACCTGCCCACCGCGGCTGAGGTGAAGTCGTGGGGAAAGAGGAGTGTCGGTATGGCAATGCGCCACTCGGCCTATCCCTCGCGACTGCGTCTGGGTAATCGGTATTAGAAGGTGCCGCTCCCCCGATCCGTCAAAATC